CACAGAGAAAATAGAAACAAAAAATCTGGGAACACAAGATTGGCATCTCTCAACCACTCCCTTTGCCAGGTGCTGAGCCTTTCCCTTTGATCTGTCTCAGCAGGGAAGAGGCAGTAAGTTTTCCACCTGTTCCAGCTTGAGACCTTGTTAAATCATTTGAGTTCACTGTTTCCTGTAAATATATATATATATAAATATAATCAGAGTTTCCAAAGGAAATCTCATTAGCAGTGTTAGCAGCTGAAACTAGGGGACCTGTTCCATATCACTCTAGAACTTCATTTTTTCCCCTCTGGAGGTGGATTTTCCACCCTGATCTTCTTACATGGATTAGAGTGTCTGAAGAAGTTATCCTCTATGTTTTATGTATTGCTCTGGTCTTCATATTGTAGGAGATGGGTTTTTACTAGTCCAAAATCTTCATCTTAAATCGGACAATGTTTCCATACTTCCAGCTGTGGAAGACCAGAGATATTCCTGGTATTGGTTAAGAGTTGGATGTGTTTTCATTCTCACTATAAACACTCCCTTGCTTGAGGGTATTGATCCAGTTCTGTTGATGGTATTTGCTAAATCCCTTTGTGTACTGAACAATAAGAGCATCTCACTCAGCACCAAGAGTAGCCTGGGAGATTTGTTGGGTGCCTTTTGATGATTAAATGGCTTTCAGTGGAAAATTACCCCTCTTACCAAAGCTTTTCCTCACCTCAAATGTAAGGCAAAAACTGGCTGGAATATATTTCAGGGCAGCCTGGAGCAGATTGCTCTTGCCCTTATCTAATTTTCTCTTGAAAAATTATCTGAGATTTTCATCTTCCCTTAACCTCACCTTCTCTTCATTTAAACTATGTGAGCTAAGGCTCTTTACACTTCCTCCCCATTTCATCCCTTGCAGGCCTTTTGCCACCTATGCTATGGATGCTGCTTTGTTTCAAGCTATTTTAAAGCTCCACTACTTCAATTTCTTCGAGTCTGAGCAAAACACTGGCATGGTAGACATCATTAGCAAGATTAGATCAAAACTATCCTTTCATAAGTGGATGGTGCAGACAGTAGCATTCAACTCCCTGTATTTTTCAAAACAGGTACCACTTGAACATCAGAAGAAGTTATATAAGGTGTTTTCCTTCTCCAACATATTTTCAAATACATAGCCCTGCCAGGCATGTTAAACAACATGCACAGAACAGTATTGATTAGCATGTCATTAGTTTCACAAGCGGAGCCTGGGACTGTGGGTATGCTGTGAGTAAGCCTGGAGATGCTAATGACAGCTGTGAGCAGAATGCAGATGGACCCTGCTCAAACATCAGCTCTCAGCAGCTTCATTGGAACAGTTCAGGTGTCCAGCTGGCTGTAAATGGGAGCCTGTACTCAACAGGACACACTGTGGCAGCCTGATTAAAATCTGTGCTGGTCTGGAGCAGCCCTACTGAATTGAATGCACATTGAATTGTTGAATCATTTAGATTGAAAAGGACCTTCAAGATCATTGGGTCCAACTATGGACCCAGCAGTGCCAATTCAAACACTAGCCCATGTCCCCAAGGCCCACATCTATACTTCTTTTAAGTATCTCAAGGGTTGGTGATTCCACTATTTCCATGGACAGCTTGTTCCAGTGCTTGACAACTTTTTGGTGAAGCCATTTTCCTTAATATCCAATCCAAACCTCCCCTGGTGCAACTGGAGGCTTTTTCTTCTTGTACTCTTGATGGTAACTTGGCTAAGAGGCCAATCTGCATGTGGCTATGACCTCCTTTCAGACAGTTTGAGAGCAAAAGAAAGTCTATCCTGAGCCTCTTTCTCTCCAGAATAAACACCCCCAGCTCCCTCAGCTGCTCCTCATCACTCTTGTGCTCCAGAGCCTTCTCCAGCTCTGTTGCCCTTCTTTGGTGTCATCTGAGATTGGTTGAAGGAGCTCTTTCCCAATCCCACTGTCTTCTCTCTCCTCATCCTCCCCCATGCTTGGCTCTTGTAGGGCAGGCCTTCTTTTAACCAGATTGGATGCACTACCTTCACTTCTGCTTTGAAATCTTATGTAACAGGGAAGACCAGAGTGCTGGAGTAAATAGACTCAGTAGTGAACATTTATTTGGCCAGAGAATAAGGCTGTATCAAAGAAAGAGAGTGGACCTGAGAAAACACAAGCCCATTTGTTCTCCCCCAGCCCCAACCCTCCTCTCAAAAGCAACGCACAGATCAAGGAGGTTAACACAGAGGAAAAAAGCAGAAAAAAGAAAGCTACACTCCAAGGAAGTAATTTTTGCTTCTTCCGTGGTGGCAACTCAAGACTAAAATATTTCAGGGATGTCTACAATGAAAATGGTGGTGTTATTTCAGGTTCAGCCAAAGATTGCAACTTTGTTTTCATGGTTTCTTTTGCACTAATTCTGTGGCAGTTCATGTTCCTGAGAGGCAGTGACAAGCCCTGCTCAGCCAAGCCCTGCTCAGCTATGGGGTGGTTACAGCACATCAGCTGTCATGAGAGGGGAAATGTGTGCTGAGAATCACTGCTCTCACACTGAGATTGCTAAACAGCAATCCTTCTTCCTACCTATCATTTAAGAAAAAAGAAGGAGAAAAAAGAAGGAGAAAAAAGAAAGAAGGAAAAAAAGAAAGAAGGAAAAAAAGAAAGAAGGAAAAAAAGAAAGAAGGAAAAAAAGAAAGAAGGAAAAAAAGAAAGAAGGAAAAAAAAGAAAGAAGGAAAAAAAAGAAAGAAGGAAAAAAAAGAAAGAAGGAAAAAAAAGAAGGAAAAAAAGAATGAAGGAAAAAAAGAAAGAAGGAAAAAAATAATTAGTTCTCTTTAGGGTGCCTTGGTGAACATCAGATATCTTACACAGACCACTGGGAAGTTTTTAGTAGGAACAGATTTAGTTCATGACTAACCTGAACCATATTTAAACCATGACCTCACTTACTCATTAATTTCTAGCTCAATAGGATGCACTGGAGTGAGGGAAATCATCCATGTGCTATTTCTTCACATCACTTGTCTATAGCTGAAATCATCTTTTTCACTGGAAAGTATCAGCCTACAAACAAAAATTGCTAGACCTGGAAGAAATCCCAGCTGTAAATCTGAGTATTCTGGGGCCATAGCACATTGCTTTCCCTGCAAGCATTTCTTTCCCTTTTAGGTGTAATCATGCAGGAAGTTTAACATCAAAACCAACAAAGGAAATCCTTACTGATTTATTCAACACTATAAAGGTGTAACAGCAAAGCAAGAAGATATCCCTGAAGTGCCTTTTAAAGATGTGCACTGCATAGCAAATGGGTTTTAAAGTGAAACTCTGGAAAAAATAATTAATTCAAAGTTTGTTCCTCATACCTGAAACAAAAATACCTAAAAGGGAATGTGGTGGGGAAGAGAAGTTTATGCAGGCATTCCAGTGTAAATGCTTCCTGCTGAGGAGAAAAGGAAGAAATCAGAAATGGTTATCCATAATCCAAAATAGAATTTTATTATGGTTTGTGAATTTACAGAATTTAATATTTACAGAAGTTTATGCCTTGAATCTCAGCTGCAAAAATCAATGACTTGCTTAAAAGTCCAGAGTCATACTGCAAGATTTCAGATACTTACCTTAAACCACTGCACATGTCTGTTTGGAAAATGTTTCTTCTATAGAGACAGGATCTCCTTTAGAGTAATTTATCCTGTCCTGAGGTCTGGAGGACCCTGGCTCTCCCAGCTGGCTGCACAGGCTCCTTAGAGAGAGAATAGATTCCATGTTTTTCTAATTGTTGGATTGAGGACCAGAGTATTACTCTGGGTAATATTTTTTCATAGTTCATATATTAATCTCATAAATAAAGACATTGGCTGTGAACTGGAAGTATTCATCTGATAAAGAAGGAAAAGATTATTCATTTCAAGCCTTGATATAAAAGCTGCTCAGATAGCTCACAGAGATCCAGTCAGATTCTTAAAATCATGTATTTTCTAATGCAAATGGAGCCACTGGAGCAATTTATAGAGGGAAAAAAGCCAAAAACCAAAACATAATGAGACTGGCAACCTTTCAGACAAAACATTTAGCTTTATCTATTTGGCTTGGTTGGTGGTAAGAATAGATGAGTTAGATCATGATTATCAGTCCTTGTATGATTACATCTCCACCAGTGCTTGAATGGGATGTGATGGCACTTGGGCATAACACCACTGAGGAGCAGCACAGCTGGATCCCTGCTCTGGCAGCATCCTGCTCATCATGTCAGGGAAAAAGGTGAATGCCATCACTTGCAGGAAAGCTGGGAGCAGCACTGTGCTTCAGTTCATGCCTTAGTGTTAAGTCTGGAGGAAGGACAGCAGAAACCGTTTTGGTTTTGAGAAGTTAATGAGACAGTTAAATGGGACGGGGCATAAATTATCAGTCTGCTTAAAAGATCTTGTTTCTGGTGTGTAGAGGAAGATTAAATGATCAAAGGGAGCTCAATGAGAGCCGTGTGCCCAGATTAACTGCAGCTGGAAAAGTGCAAAAGGAAACCTGTGGTAGCCAAAGAACAGAAATGAGATGGAGAGAGAGATATTTTTACCTGTGTGCACAGCCAAGGTAGTGGAAATACTATTTGAGAAAGTTTTGTTGAAGAAAGAACAGGTATAGAAAGAAGAATTTCCCTCCTGGCTGAAATTAAAAGGTAACAACCCTAAGTAACAACAGCTGAGTGCAGCTCTGCGTCAGAGGCAGGATGGATAGAACAATCTGATCAATGTTAGATCGTAAGTTTAGCTGGGATCATTATGAAAATGAATGATAATCAGCCTTGTGGGATTAAACCTCAGTAAAGCATACTTAACACCATATCCAGCTTTTCTGGTGCCCAGCTGAGAAGCTGCTTTCATTCCCACTTTCCCAGGACAGTCACATGGAATAACTAGCCAGTAAATACCACATCAAATGGGCAGTAGCATAAGTTGCTCTTCATGGTAGAGCAGTATTTTCACTTTCCTCAGATATAAGGCAACTAGTACAGAGACCTATTTCTGTTAACAGCATATGGCTACTTGAAATAATCCACAAAGGCAGTGAGACCAGCTCTGGAAAGCTAATGATGAACAGAGACAAGGGAACAGAAGGACTTTGGTAAGTAAACCTTGCTACCTGCTTGCTTTGTGTGCCTGCTCAGTAAATCTCTGCTCATCTGTGTTATTCTGGAAGTACCAAGGTTGCTGACACTGAGTTTCAGGAGGTAAATTCCTAAGGTGCTTACTGCCCTTCTCTTGAATGTGTCCCAGTTTGGTAAATCCCAATTAATTTAAATGTTAACCAAATCAACAATCTCTCATGGTGATCATCTCCATGTATCTCTCAGTCTGGTAGAAAGGCTTGGAGTATCCCTTACAGATCTGTCCTGGAGCACAAAACATAAAGATATTACAACATCCTTTCATCCAACGCGTCAGTACTTGGAGCACTCACAGAGTTTTGAGAGATTTAACTCCTTCTTCTGCTTAAAGGTAACATAGAATTCCAAATCTGAGGTGAAGAGATTAAGCACCTGGTATTGCTCAGAAAAGCACTGTGGAGTAGCTCCCCTTCTGTAGTTTATTGAAGTAGTTTCACTTCTTTTTAAATAGTGACAAATTATTTAGGTTAAAAGAGAGTGTGATATTTTTGCTAAATGGTAAATCTCCCCTTTGGATAAAGAAGGGAAAACCTTTCTATCCTTTGTTTCATTGAGCACCTAAGGGAGAAAATATAAATTAATGAAGTGTTAGAGGCAGGTGGAGAGAGTTCTGTTTAGTCACCGGGTTCACGTAGTATTTTTAGACTATCTCCAAAAGTCCAGCTTCAACATGAGGTGCACACTACTTCCAAAGCTGCTCTCAGTATTTCATGGAACAAAAGCCCTTTGAGCAGATTGAGGTGAGGAGATGTGGATTAAGATCAATAGAAGCAGGGCAAGGGAACTAATCTTCAGAGTCTGGCATGTGATTGTGAATAGTTTATTCACTGAATTTTTGAATGAAAGACATCACTGTGACTGCTCCAGCTGTCCTTTGTAAGGAGCCTGGATACAGAAAATACAGTTTGAAGTGCTTATGCTTCCCTTGTGTTTTCTCCATGAAAACTTCTTTGGTAACACTGGAAGAGGAATTGCTAACTTTTGTGTCCTCCCTGGGTTAGATATCATTTAGACCTTCAGCTACTGACCCCTCAAAGCAAAACACTGTACCCGAGATACAAAGGACACAGTGACTTAAGTGTGTGGAGCCACTCCTCTTATTTCTGGGGCACTGTGGATAAAACAGGAGCAAAAGAAGGAATTTGCAGCTTGTGATTTTGAGGGCTCTCATCCTGAAATTCTGTTGACTCACAGTTCAGCATATGCAAGCACAGAGCATGTTGCTGGCAATTATATGTATCTTAATGTCCAACAAAACACTGGAATGTGTAGGTAGCTGGAAGGAAACACCTGGTCTGTTCAGCCCAACTCAGCACTCTACACACTAGGAAAGGTCAAATAAGTGTTGCTTTTAGATGAGTCTGCAGAAGGTTTCTGGCATAGCTGCAGTTGCTCTGATACATGTGTGTAAATACACATTGCTGCAGTACAGAGGTAACAGTACTTGTAGTCTTCATGTGCAAAAGGGGGATCAGAGATGGTTTTGTCTTCAGCTCCTGCAGGATGAAGGAATTAGCTGTTGGAAAACACAGCTAATACAGGAAAATAGCAACAGCTTCTAGTTAATCATGTGTTAGGTACACCTTAGCCCTCAAAATGGATCCTGTGTAACTAAGGGTGGGTGAATCAACTGCAGGTGACAATTTCAAAGAGAAAAAACTGAAGAGGTAAACAAGAGGAAGACATATGTGGTCCCAGAGTCATTCTGGAGTAATTTCTACTGCTGTGTTCCCCCCCACCACCACAATATTAGTGATAAACATGCTTTTAGCTGTCTTACTTGCTTCTGCTGTAGGCTCAAATCCACGAGATATGCAGGAGAAAATGACAAAATTAATTAACCAGACCTACTAAATAAACATTCCACTTGAAAATAAGGTTTGATCTTTATGTTTAATCTAATAGCTAAAAATGAATCTATTTCAAGTTCAAGAACTAAAGCTAGCTGTGTTCAAGTTTGTGTGTTTCACTGAGATTTCTAGTTTTTGCAATAACAAAGTTGTGTGAATTTTTGTTTGTCCTAGCAGGAAATGAGTTTTTAGCTCTACCTGTGGGCATACAATTGATTTCTCACCATACTGGTGTGCTGATCACCCTGTGCTAATTGGCACCCTAAGAAGTCAAATTAAAGAGGGAGGAGGGTTATTCTCTCATGCCTGGGAGCAGTTTCCCCAGGATCAGACCAGACCGTGCTGGCAGAGCAGCACGATCAAGGCAGGCTGTGTAAATGCCTGTGCTGTAACCTCTTTTGAAGAGTTACAAGGTGGGTCCTCAGGGATTCAGTATATTAATTTACCCTGCCCTAAATTGACTCTAATCTACTTCACGGTATTATTGATCTGAATGTTAAAGTCATTAGCCTCAGCATTTAGCTGAGGACATGAAGACTTCCACTGAAGTTAACATCACCTGGTCAAAACATAACCATAACATCACCTCACATACATGTGAGACAGAAACCACTTCTGGACTTCCCATGAATTGATCCAAAAAAAGATAATATCTCTGCATTGAGGCCTTGGTTCCCACACGTCACACTTGTTCTATATACAGTCATGTCTCCATGGTAAGCTGCTTTGAAATTTTTATTTTTTTTTTTTTACCAAGTCAGTAGCAAGCTAATGGGAAACCAGGAAGGTGAGAAGTTTTGAAGAGAAGCTATTTTAACGAGAAGATAGAAATTCTTATATCTGAGTGGCCAAATAATTTGGTATAGTTTATCTTCTACTCTGAGCTTTGGGCTGATAAATAGGCAGGTGCTCCTGGAAATGTATTTTGAAGTAATGAGTAGTAATGTGTCCTGAGCACCTCTCCGATACTCTGGGCACAAGGACAGTGGGATTTGGGGCTCAGAAATTCCACTTAGCCCAAGAGAAGCTGAGGCTCAGCCCCATTCATTTGAAATCATGGGGTAGGATGGAAATGTTAAAATTAACAATTGAAAGATGTGAATAATTGGCTCTGTGAGCTGGGACTTGTCCAGAGCCCATAATATTTGGAAATTCTCTTAAGCCCTACAGCATGAGATTTAGTGTCCTTTCTTAATAGTTTGTCCGAGTGAATTATTTTAATTAAAAATTTTAATCATCAATAAAAATAACTGTGGATGCTTCTGGTGTATATGTACATCTTCTGTCCCATTTAAAATTCTGCCATTTTTGGCCTTATTCCCATCCTACATCAATTAATTACAGTTTAATCACATGGGTGAATTAAAAATGACATTCCTTTGATCTGCCTTTCATTCCTCACCTCTTAATTTCTTTGAACAACTATCTGGACACATGAGAAAGGAAGAACCTTCTCCAGAGCATTCATTATCCTATATTATTTTACCACATCCCATCCCAGCCATCTGCTTTCTCAAATGCAAAATTGCAGCCTTTCAGGGGTTAGAATTTAGAGTAGTCTGCAATGTCCTTTGAAAAAAATGGAACACTCACATCTCTCATGGAAAATCTTCCCATGAACAGCAACTGCTGTTGCATTCAGCTGTGAGCTACTGCACGTATTTGTATGCTACTTTAATCTTCATGATTCTCACTCGTCTGGGTCATTTGGTTGGAAGGGATGTAGGTGCTGACAGCAACACTGAGGCTGAGCTTGTCTCTGATTTACATGTTGGCTCTCACTGCCTCATCTGCTCACTGCAGTTTGCTACACCTCAGGCTTCTCCAGGAGCAGAAATGTGTGTGTCCTGGTTATTTGTTTTTCTGTGTAGGGATCTTCTCTGACACAGACCTTCACTCCATAGCAGTGCCTACACCAAAATCAACCAAAAATCTTAAGCAGAGCAGATGATTTAACTGTTTCCCTCCTTCCTGGCTCTGCTCCCACGTGACTGATAAAATCTTAAATAAAGCCCATGACACAGGAATTACTTTTAAAGCAAGTCTTTAATCCATCACTTCATTCACACACACACACCTGGAAGTTCTCAAGGCCAGGCTGGATGGAGCTCTGAGCAACCTGGTCTATGAAAGGTGTCCCTGCCCATTTCAGGGGATGTGGACGAGGTGATCTTTCAGGTCCCTTCAAACCCAGACCATTCTGTGATTCTGAGTCTATGACTCAAGTTCTGTTACATAGGTGAGGGTTTGAAACTGTGTAGGTGTATTCCCAATAAAAAGATGCTGTTCTGGGTTGCAGTATTGAGCTGTCACCAGCTGGTTTGGGACTGTGACTGGAATTCCTGTGGCCCTGCAGCTTTGGGATACAGAGCCCAAATGATGTGCTTTCCTTTGAAAGCAGATATTGTGGGTCTGGGCTGTGCCAGCTGAAGGATCAAGAACTTGAGAAGGAGTCTGTATGGCTGCTTTCCTAAAAAGGGAGAGCTCTTCCACACTCTTCCCAGGTGTCAAGTTAGATGGAGAGCCATGCTTCAGCCCTCAATTACGGAGCTATGAAGAATAGGATGTGCAAATACACTAAGACAATTGGGAGTCTGAGACCTTGCTTAATGAAATTAGGGTAGAGATAACTGCCTATAAATATACTTGGAAGAAAAGAAAGGTAGCACCACAGAGGGAACAGAGGTAGTTAAGCTAAGTAATAATGCACATTAGTAAATAAATGTTGGAAATTAGAAGGATTCTTTTTTTTTAACCAGTGAAAGTGCACACAGGTAACCCTCTCTGAAATTATCTAGAAGACCACAGTGAGGAAGAAATTAAATCCTGCAAGAGGGACAAAAATTGACAGATTTATCTTCTCTGTCCTTCTGTTTGTTAAAAAAACCCAAAACCAGACCAGTCTGCTTCTATGTGACTGAAACTTGAAAAGCTAGGACAGTGATAATGAGGAGGGGACACGAATGCTTGAAAATCTTTTGAGGAGTAAAAAAATAAAGAGCTAAAGGTTAAAAAAAAAAAAAAAAAGTTTGAAATGCGTTTCTTTGGAAATACGACCTGCCCTCACAGCAGGGAGCAGAAAGGAACAGCTCAGCACCTGAGACTGGAAAATGCAGAAGGAACACAATAAATGGCAAGTCCTGGCACGAGGCGCTTGCGTGGTTGTGCAGAGAGGGCAAGAGGAAAAGTGACATTGCCCGGGAGCAGAGCAGCTGATAGCATCGGTGTTTGCACATCACTCATTAACACCAGCACCTTCTTGCCAGGTGCTGCTTTGTTTCAGGGCTTCAGAGAAGGGCTGGACGCAGCCCTGTCACCGTGGTGTTCTTTTTATCCCTAAACGGAAGATTCCTGAATTAGAAAGAACTTCAGCTGGCAAAATCCTTTTGATTTCAGGAAACACAACAGCTCTCCTGATTCAGGTGTAACAAGCAGCCCTGATGCTTCTTTTATTCCCCAAAACTGCTGCATGTTGTTGAAAACGCAGAAAAAAATATTACAAAAGACACCAGAAGCCTGCTGTATAGTTTCATTCTTGGTTTGTTTTTTGGTT